GGCAGGCGGCCCCGGCCGAGCGGCTCCCTCCTCCCGCGGACGGCGCTGCGCGTGGACAGCCGGCCCTCCGGGGTCAAGCCAGGTAGCTGTAGGTGTCCTTCTCGCCGTCCACCCGCTCCAAATACTCCTTCTCGATCAGAATGTCAATGCATTTCTGGGTGTCGTTTTTCAAGAAACGCGGGAGCAGTGAAAGGGGGGGAAGCACATTCGTCACCAGCCCGGACACCGGTCACCCTCGCCTCGGGGGGCTCCCTCCCACACAGCTTGGCCCCCCAGTGGGGCCTCGGTGTCGTCATGCTGGGCCGCCGCCTCGAGGGCGACCGCGTCCTGGAGAGCCGGCCCGGAGCGGCCCCCTCACCCGGAATGGGGGGCTGCCGACGCCTGTGGGCCCGACTCCCCTAGAGCGTCGGGGCAGGAAAGGCTGTGCATGGCGTTCCCGGAGCAAGCTGGCTGTGGCCAGGCGAGGCCAGGCACGGCGCCCGTGGCCCCCCGCCCCCCCGAGGCCCCTGCGCAGACGAGACTCAGGAGCTGTGGAGCCCGGAGCCGCCGACACGCCTTCAAGAGGCCACACTGGCCTGCTGCGGGGGCCAGCCCCCGCCCCAGGGAGCAGCCGTAAGCGCCCCGTCCCGCTGCTCTCCAGCGTGACCGCGGCCTGCGCCTCCTGTACCTTGATGACGGGGACCCGAGGCTTGAACCTCGAGGACAGCTGCGTGAGGACCTCGCCGAGGAGCTGCTGGTGTTTGAGGACCTTCCGCATTTTCATGATCCTCACGATGGCCGCCTGGCACCGAGGCAGGGAGACAACGGTGTAAGGCGACCCACGGGCCTCACGCGCGTCACGATGTCCTCGCGGGCCGCCGACCGCGGCTGACTGAGGCCTCCGGGCGCGGGACTCCCTCGGCCCGGCCCGGCCCGACGCTGCGGGGTCTCCAGTGACGCTGGCCGGCCGCCGCAGCACGAGCTGGAGCCCCGCCGGGCAGTGACCCCCAGCCCTGCGGACCCTCCTGTCTCCCTGCGGCCGCCTCAGCAGTGGGTTTCAGGGGGTCTGCCTGTCCGCGCCCCACTGTCTCTGATGCCCCCCACCTCTGGCTGCACATGAGTAAATACATCTTAAAAAAAAAAAAAAAAAAAAAAAAGCCACCAGACGCCCATCGCCCCCGCCCCGCCGGGCGGCGCCCCCAAACCTGGATCAGCAGCTTGCGGTCCTCCTCGATGTTCTTGTGCGTGGTCTCCTGCTCCTGCTTCTGCTCGGTTTTCATTGGCACGTTGATGTTGACCCTTAGCTTCTTACTGTCGAGGAAACGGAAGCGCCTGTCAGCACTGTCCCGAAGGCAGGCGGGCGGCCCGGAGGAGTGGCCGGGCCCTGCCCCCGCAGAGCGTCCTCACCGCCCACCACCGCTGGAGACGGCGCTCTCGACCAGCCGGCTCCCTCCCGGGCAGCCAGCGGCTGGACACTGGGCTCCGGGACTCAGCCCCTGCCTGCTCCCGTGCTTCACCAAGTGAAATACGGCAGGCTTTGGGGGGCCCGGGGGTCTATTTCAGGGTGCTCTTTATTTCCCGAATAAAGCAAAAACCCACACTCAGTCAGGGGTGCACCGCAGGCCGGTCCCTCGGCGTCCCACCGGCCCGGCCGCCCCGCCCCGCCGGCAGCCCGCCCCCAGAGTCCCCTTACTTTTTATAACCGAGATATAATTTTATTAAGGTATCTGGCTTCAACTCCACTTCGTCAACATTCGCATTTTCGTCTTCCAAGACCTGCAAGGAGACGGTGGTTATGGACGCGGCTCACACACCCTCCGGCCCCGCGCGGCGCGCAGACCTACCAGCAGCTTGGACTTCAGCAGGATCTGCAGGACCTGCGCCAGGATGTCCTGCAAGGCCAGAGCAGGACAGGTGAGGGCCTCCTCCCTCCACGGCCGGCTGCCCGCTGCCCACACCAACGGGGCCGCACAGAAGCCCGCCCGGACGCGCCCGGCTCGCGCGTGGGGGACCCGCTTCTCAACGCAGTGGCCCACCCTGCGCTCGGCAGGTCTCAGAACACGCCACAGCCGTCCGC